TGCGCCTTGTTGTGTAGCTCCAGGTCCATATGTTGTACCTTTTGTGATAAAAATAATCAGCTTTAAATGAGATCTACTATCGACGATTTTTGTGTTAAAATTACCTGGAATTCCATATTGACCTTGTGGACCAGGTGCTAAGATTTGTCCTGCTCAACGAAATGTATGTCATTAATAAACAAATATTTCTACTATCGGGGTTTACCCTTACCTTGGGTATCGTATTGTCCAACTCCTGGTCTGCCAATAAGGGTTGATGGTGTACCATCTGTGTATGTTGTCGTTGGTTGATAAGCCCCAGCTCCTCCACCGTAAATCAATGGATCTGGTGAACCAGCATTATAATCTATGGAATTTAAAGACCATGTAAAATTCTAGACTAAGTAATAGGCATATCCGCTACCATATACATTGCTGCCTCCACATTCACCACAATCGCCTACAGAGAATTGACTCTGAGCTTGGCCCATACCGTGACTTCCAGCTGGAAAATAGCATTGACTGTGTTAGAATCAATCTGGCCGACATTTGTTAGTTTTTATTTCAACTTACATACTGTTGATCGGGAACCACTTTCGTTAGCTTCTGCTTCAGCTTTGCCATCTTGTTCAGGTTTTCCAAAATTTAAGTACTGTGACTGAGTTTGACCTCTCATACTGGAAAATTGAGTCATTTTAGAAAGTTCGGGCTTAATCTACCATTGTGAAATTATTTAGAATGGTCTACTTACTAGCCTCTATTGCTTCTTTTCAATCTTTGAATGTCATCGATGAATTCGACATTTTCATCATTTGATGAGCCCTAAAGAGTATAAGGAATAAAAATGTATTTAATTTTATTATTGAAAAAGGGAATATTTTTTTAGGTCAAGGTCGAGTAGAGGATTTTATTTTTGTATATATGTATATCCTCGGTTCAGATTTAAATATAGCTCTCATATATATTTTCGTTCGATTTTATGTAGAGGGTGCACCGAAGAGACTATTTTTTTCAATTTACACGAAATTTGTCAGAAGAATTAAGTTTAGAGTTATTTGTACTACATTTTGTAAAAATCTGTTCACATTTAAATATGCTTGTTTCATATTCTCGGAATTTTGCAGTCTAGAAGGCTTTGTGTTAAGTTTGTAATCGGTTCAGATTTATGTATAGCTCCCATATATATGTTTGTTCGCCTTACATGAAATTTGCCATTTTATAGGTTTCAGAATGGTATCCGTACGGGTTGTTTTAAACTAGTTCAAAAATCTATGTAGTTCACACAGGTAATATCGTCCGATTCCATTTAAATGGTCCTCCAAAGATGCTATGTTTATTCTATCTACAGGATATTGTACATATGAGCATCTCATCTCAAAGTGGTGAAGGGTATCATACAGTCGGCCCGTCCGACTTTCGAACTTCCCTTACTGGTTTGTTATAGTTTAATATTCAAGTGAAATCGAAAATATTAATTTTAAAAATATAATTGAAATACATGTATGTATCTATGTGCTCATTGAATCTAATCAAATGGTGTTGTTGTTGTCGTTGTGTTCATTACTGTTTTGCTGATTCTATATTTTAGGCTTGAATTCATATATTTCAAATATGACCTTGGTAAATAGATTTGAATTATGGGTTGTGGAACAATCTGCTGAGCAGGCGCTTATCAGAAATCTTTGTAATTTCCTGAAGATTAATGATCGAAACGGAAGTTCATAAGAATATACATTTTTAAATGTTTTGTGCTGAAACCCAAGACAAATTTAGTGGCGATGTATGTGTTAGTTTGGTGATTTAGATTTATGTAATTTTATTAATAAATGTGGGGTCTCTATATTATTTTTTATATCTTCTAAATAAACATTTAATGGGTTTCCGACAAAAACAGTTTTTTTAAACTTCAATAAATCGATTGTGTGCTGTGTTGGGCTATCCAGTTGAAACCACCAACCAGGTCCATATTTTCCAAATCCGGACATATCCGGAAACATTTCATGGTTTAAATTGTGATTTGTGGTAACATGGATTATGCTAATACCAGCGTTGAAGATAATTTATCATTACCATTATCTGGAACCATAAAAATGCAAAATTTGAGTCCTCTCACAATTCGTTAGTAAGAACGAGATTGTTATAGCCCAAATTTCAATTTTCGCGATTTCGAAATATTTTCTAAGTTTTTTTTATCCACGGTTTAAAATATTCCTCCATGTAACGGAATTGCCCATTTTTGGAGTTATAAAGGTTTACACCGCATTTACAACCGAGGCGTGAAAGATTTATTTAACATATATTCACTGTAGGGTCATGTGTTGACATAACCCCCATTTTATGTCTCTAAAATGAAGGTTCTAATCGGCAATCTATTGGCATTCCGTTTTCATGGTGAATAAAATACTTCTTCGTAAAAATGTTGTTTAAGTAACCGCCATACAAAGGTCTCGTTTAATTTTCGGTATTCCACTCTGAGGATCTATATTTAATTTTCTCAGGGACATTTATCAAACCCTACCGATGTCTTTCCTCACATGTTCATGTGGAAATGGCGACAATAAGCTCAAAAAATGTTACGGAAAATGACCTATCCTCTAAAGGATTTAATTCGAAGCTACAGGTGATAAAAATCCTTTGACCAATGTACATTTAAATTTTCGAGTAAATATATCTAGACTCATAGTAATATGATTATAGTTAGTTCCACACTATGTTTGTACAACAGGCGCATATGATTACTCAAAACCAAATGATCTATTGACTTTAGTTATTGATTGAATTAATCTAAAATGTAAGAGAGTACCAACCAAGAACTTTTCGCAGAATTAGTTATAAGGAGACTGAGTGATTCTTGAGAGTGCCGTGGTATTTACTGATTTTGTTGTTTGCTACTGACGTCAGAACAGCAGCGATATTCTAAACACCTAGGTTCACACCTGTGTTGTAATGCAAACCTAGCAAAAATAATTATCAACAATATAAAGGTAACTCTTTTGTATTTTGAGGATTCCGGATATATTTCCCAAGCGCCAAGCTTCATTTTACGGTGTGTTCAAGGTCCTAGCCCAACCAGAGTGTCTGCTTTCATCTGGAAGGCCCGATCAATATGTGGTATTTTGAATGTCCATCTCTTGGTGGAGGGTAAATAAGTTCTGACTGACCGAACTTATCTATGTTTTTTTGTCTGTTTATAACATGATAATTTGTGTATGGAGAACCCTTTATTAACTTAATCCTATCCAAAATGTTAACCATTATTCCATAAAAAACTAAATCCAATCAGTGCGGATTTTCCAAATTGTTAACATTAAAAAAATGGTAAAACGAAAGGATTTTCTTAAATTACAAAAACAACAAATTTCATTTTTCATTTTTCAAAATTACAAGCCTTCCAAAAAATTTAGATATGTTGAACACCTTCAGAATTTGAAATGGAGAATGGGGAGGTAACATTTGGGCACTTCCACGACTTTCGGAGGCAAAATACAACTTTAAATGATAAATAGATCAAATGCAATAAATTTTTTGTAGAACTTTAGGAGTACTATAAATTGAAAGCCTCCGGTTTTTATCCTTTGTGATAAAGGTCACAAAAGTATATTCTAATATACATGTCTTCAGTCATCATTGCTAATAATGGGAAAACTCTGTGAGTTGTATGAAAATTGTGAACTTTAAATATTCTTTTCATAAATACGAAATATCAAACATTCTTATTATACTTTTAATATTTGGTCTGTCCTTTTTTGAGATGATTTTTCTCATGCGATATTTTTTATTTCTGCAGTATCTGCATTTAGATTTATGGTAAAAACTAGAAGAAAAAATGATAAATGGGGTCTTTCTTTGAACTTTTTGCCGGAAATGCCCATGTACCTTAAGGTATTCAGATATTACTTTTCGATTCGATATGCTTAACGACATGCTATGCTCAAGATGAGCAAATTTTGATTAAATCGTATTATCACCAGCCAGACGTTGCCAAAATTATTGAAACGGAAATGCATCGAACATATTGGGGTCTAAACTGTTATTTCGATAAAACACTTTTTACCCACCCATCTGACTGGTGGTGTAAGAACTTGTATTGAAATCGAATGGTTGTTTTAATTTCTGAGGACCTTGTTTTATTTTTTATACCCTCCACAATAGTATGGAGGGTATATTAGTTTTGTTTTTCCGTTTGTAACGCATCGAAATAATCATTTCCGACCCTATAAAGTATATATATTCTTGATCAGCGTAAAATTCTATGACGATATAAGCATGCCCGTCTTTCCGTCTGTCTGTTGTAACCACTCTAGCGTCTAAACGAATTGAGATAGAGCGCCAAAATTTTGCATAGGCAGGTCAAGTTCGAGGATGGGCTATATCGGTCCACGTTTAGGCATAGCTCCTATATAAGGGTACCCCCAAATTTTCAGTATTTTGGGGTTCTTGAGAGCGTTTTTCAACCGAATTCGCTGAAATTTGGTATAATAGATTATTTTTGAATAACAAATTTCTCCACCAAAAATTATAAATATAGGTCCACTTTTTCTGGTAGCCCCCATATAAGGGTACCTCCCAATTTCCAGTTTTTGGGGGGTTTTGACCGGATTTTTTCACTTAATTGACTGTAATTTAGTAATTTGAGATCTTATTGGGTAGCAAATCTCTTCACAAAAAATTATAAATATAGGTCAATTTTTTCGGGTAGCCCCCATATAAGGGTATCCCCAATTTTCGATATTTTGAGGTTCTTGAGCGCGTTTTTCAACCGAATTCGCTGAAATTTGGTATAATAGGTTCTTTTTGAATACCAAATTTCTCCACCAAAAATTATAAATATAGGTCCACTTTTTCTGGTAGCCCCCATATAACGGTACCTGATTTTTCACCGAATTGGCTGTAATTTAGTACTTCGAGTTCTTATTAGGTATCAAATCTCTCCACAAAAAATTATAAATATAGGTCCATTTTTTCGGGTAGCCTTCATATAAGGGTACCCCCAATTTTCGGTATTTTGGGGTTCTTGAGCCCGTTTTTCAGCCGAATTCACTGAAGTTTGGTACTTTGAGTTCTTATTTCGATGCAAATCTCTCCACCAAAAATTATAAATATAGGTCCACTTTTTCTGGTAGCCCCCATATAACGGTACCTCCCAATTTTCAGTTTTTGGGGGTTTTGACCGGATTTTTTCACCGAATTGGCTGTAATTTAGTACTTCGAGTTCTAATTGGGTATCAAATCTCTAAACAAAAAATTAAAAATATAAGTCCATTTTTTCGGGTAGCCCTCATATAAGGGTGCCCCCAATTTTCGGTTTTCAACCGAATTCGCTGTAATTTGGTATTTTGTAGTCGTATATGGTAACAAATCTCCCAACCAAAAATTATTAATATTCACCCCCTTTTAGGGGTAGTCCCCTTATAACCCCCTTTTTTATTTTAAAATAGTAAGCTGATTTCTTCCGGGTGTTGGGGTTATCCCATATAGCTGTATTCCACCATAGTAGGGGGGTTATTCGGTAGACGAAATTTTCAGTTCATACCCCACATAGTATGGAATTCTAAAACGACTTAGTCGATATAGCCATATGTTGTAATCATTTTTATCTCGGAGGATATCGACATAAAAACTAAAGCGTGAGGTTTGAGAATGAACTGTATCGACCCGCATTTAGGACCAGGTCATATATAAAACATCCTACCTATTTAATATTTAGCGTGATGGACGGTATTGGGATTTAAAACTAAAATATTAGCTTGGAACTTGAGTTACATCGGCCCTTAATTAGGTCTAACCCCTTATATAATGAAAACACCAAGAAGTTGCTAATTCCTACACAATGTTGTCAATATTGGTCCCGCTTTAGTGTGTCTCATATATAATATTGCCCTTTAAATTGAAGTATTTTCTGGATTTTATACACATGTTTCAAAGTAGCATGCGTTGATAATAAACGTCAAAATTTTAGGGTTTTGAGATTTTAGGAAAACCCCCACTGAAATTGCTGAATATTCTATTTGGTTTACAACAATCGATTGAAAGAATTATCGTTATAAGTATGTTCCCTATGTTTTCATTTCAAAAAATTGTCAGTATTTTTATGGTGGAGGGTATCCAAAGTTCGGCCCGGCCGAACTTAACGCTTTTTTACTTGTTATTCTTTCAAATATTTCTGTCTTTCGGACACATATTAATAATGGGATTATTTAATTAAATTTTCTTCTTATCTCGAGAATAAACTTTAGTTTTCTTAGCCCCAAGAATATGGTCAGAGTTTAAGTTTAAAAAAATCACTGGTACGGCTAATTTTTTGTAAGCATACGTAATTCTATTCCTGAAGTTTATTATAATTTCACTTTCTTTTATATTCCGAACACTTAAACAACGAATGCGAACACTTTTCAAAATATAAAAAAATAAATGATTTTTTTTTCATATTCACTTACAATTGTTGCTGCGTTCGCACAAGCAACGACGAGCAGTGCAACTCCCACTAGGCCCCAACGAAAGGCCTGCATTTTGACGTCAATTAATTGATGGCAGAGATGTGTGTATTGAACTTCCTTATAATAATTTGTATGAAATTAATCACTTCGTAACACGTTTAATTTTTTATGTTAGAGGTTCTTGACGTCGTTGCCAAAGAACGCCTTATTTCCGAATGAAGCACCAGCAAACTAAAATGAGATCGAATGGTACAATAAATTAATCACTAACTGAATTGAACTGAAATCTTCAAATAATCAACACAGGGCGATGTACAAATATATATATATTTTGTCATTTAATCAATTGTATTGTCATATTTGTTTCACTAAAAGAGCAAACTTTTTTCACATATGTACGTATGTATATATTTTTAAGAGTGCGCATATGTCCGTGTATGTATGCGTATTAATCGACAATATAGAGGAAGATCAAGATTTTTTTATTATCATCGTTTTTAGTGTTCTTGTTTCATTCTTGGCTTATCACTAGATTCACTTTTTCGCGTTTTTTTTATTCTTTCTTTCTTGGACATAGTCTTGTTAAAGAGTTGATTTTGTAAAAAAATATTTCCATTGATATATAAATTTTCTAAATAATTTATCCTTGAGTGTAAATCCTTTTATAGTCCTTTACATATTGACTTCGTTTAGACAACTTTTCATATTGATTTATCTTGTTATTTAAATTTTGAAAGAGGATGTGTTTTTCAGTTACTTTTCAACCCAGGAATCTTTAGCGAATTCCAGTGCTTCCGATCGCGACAACTGCTGGATTCCAAATAACGCACAATATTCCAAAGAGCTAAGAGCTGTACTTAAATTATTGAAATTTATTCAATTCTACTTTGAACAGAATAAAGACAATTTCACAGATACTCTTTACAACCACACACACACACAAAAGCACTCAGATAATGAACAAGGCATATATTCGTATGTACATACATATGTATCTGTCATAATAATTGACACTGGTAAATATGCGTTCTGCCAATCGATTTATGTGTGTTGTGGGTTGATCTTCCAACAACTCAATTACAATTACAAGAACAACTACATGGACTTACTTACGGATTCTCAACTTGGCACGCAATAGCGCCCATCTCACACACCATCACCATTAGAGAGAACCGAACATAGGGACGGACATACATACATTTGCTCAAATAAATGGATGGGTAGACCCTTTCGCCATTCAGCCCCATGAATTGTCGGACTCCGTAGTCGTCGTCATCATCATCACCATCGGCCGAGATACACGATAGGAAAATTAAAAGCTCTGGAATCGAAAACAAATGGAGGGTGTGAAAATGGTGAGGCCACATCAAAGCACTTTGATCTTGTCAATCGATTACAATTTACGTACAAGTGATGAAGTTTAAGCGTTTTCTTCTTTTTTTCTTTAATTTTATGTTTGTTTTGTTTTGTCTCTCGAGCATTTTGAAATGTTTTCAAACACATCCGCTGTCGGGGCAGGCATTTTACTCAGAGTTCATCAAAATTGTGCCATTTAAATAATTTTTAATTTTATGGGAAACATAAATGGCCTCAAATCATAACAAATTTCAAGATTATATAAAATTACAATAACAATTAATAATCGAGAACATATAATCAAATGTTCAAATATAATTATGGTTAAAGCTCAAAATTGGGTTCGGAATTTTTAAAATATTACAACAATAATTAGATGATTAGATGTTATACAAAAAGTATTTATTGAAGATGTGTATCGTTGATCTATCCTTGAGTTATCCTTTTTTTTTTTTTTTTTTTGAATGATTTTCTCTTTTTCCGTTGAAAAATATATTACACACAAAATAACATCAAAAAATATGAGTGGTCCAGATCATGATTTGTTTTTTGGTTATTTTTGCGAAATATCTAATTTTTATTATTTTTATAAAGTGAGATTATCATTTATGCTAATTTCCATTTATAAAATACAGGGTATTTCATTTTGTTTCAATTTCCTATCAACTAGTAAGCCCCATACTAACAAAACGTTCGAAATCTATATGGGGAATGTCCGATCAAGTAGCTCAGAATAGCCCATAACCCATTGGAGCACATACATATGTAAGTCTTTCAAAATAGCAATTATTACACAGGGATGTGTCATGTTGAACTTTTTCGCGTTTAAGGGAACCCCCCCCCCCATTCTCGATTTTAATTTTTCAAGATTTTCAATGGGAATCCGGTGTTAGAAAGAGTACATGTCTGGCTCTCGTATGAACTAGGATTATTGACTTCGCTCTAAAATTAACAAAATGGCGGACCTTTGAAAAAATATTTTTGGAAAATCGCCAATTTTTTACCAAAACCAAAGTTAAAAAATAAGGAAGATCTTCACCGATTAGCTTTATCCTAGTTCATACGATAGCTATACACTCACAGAGAAACGTGTAAAAATTTGCAATCGATTGGGTTATTAGTTTTTGAGTTATCGTGCCCGCCATTCGCCAAAAAATGTTTAGAGAGAAACGCGTTTAAATTTTGAGAAGCGCTTCAGCCGTCACTTGATGTTGACACAATAAATCGGCTATATCTTCAAGAGTTCTTGAGATTTTCATTTGAAAATTTGTAGGGACATTCTTTAATTAGTGTAGATTCGAATTATATCAACAGCATTTTTGACCCCGAGAATGGGGGTCCCCTTAAATCAAATGAAAACTCAGAATGATAAATAGCTTACAGTTTTTTAAGTATTTTTCATTCCATTTTGGGGTTTATGGGCTAGTTTTTAACTAAATTGGCTCTAATTTGGTTCTCTGTGGGTATCAAATCCTCTTACAAATAAACCGAAATATATCAAGGGTCTGAACATTCACCGTTATAATTTGTGACAGCTATGTGCTTATTTATCCAATTTACAATAAATGGGCATTTCTGCAAAAGGTAAAAAACAACAAACTGGGATTACGCCTGACTATTTTGCACAAAGAAGTATTATAAAATTCATTTCCAGCAAAATGTTGACCATTTTGTGCGGGAGATACGAGAAGTTTGCTGGGAATATTACGATATGCAAAGTTTTGGTGAAATCGGTTAGCCGGCCCGATAGACAAGATGCTTAGAGTACGTACCTTGCGGTCTTGTGCTGTAAACACCAGTTAATACAAAGCGTCAACCCACGCCCCCACACCAAAATGCAGGTACCAATCGATAACACGTATTTGGACGTGATCGCCTTCTTGGATGAGGAGCAGAGTTCATCTAAACTCCTGCTCCTGCAGACACCCGGTTGCAATGCAACTCCTCATCGAGCCGAAGCTTTACCCGATTTGGGTATAAGCCACCTCCAGCACGATGCTCCGCAGGAGCCAACACCAACTGCCATGCTAGATCCGCAAACCTAGGGTCCCTGTCACCCGTGCTACCGAAACCTTCGGTTCATAGCCGAAGCTATTACCAGTAGAAGCCCAAACAGTTCGAGACTGGTCACCCATTGGCTATAACCCCTGTCCAGCTTCATAGCCAAAGCTACTACCATTATAACAAATATTTGCAGGCTCTCTACAATGGAACAATCGCTGAAAGGGGATAAATAGCAAAAATGGCCACCAACATCTTACGACATTCGTAGCAACCGTTCATATTACCCCTCCCAACAATTACTCCACAAGCTTGCGATCATTCCACAAGCCTTCAAAGTTCGGGTATGGTAACCCTACTAGTTTCGATCCATGATCCGGGACTAGTAAACCCAAAGGTACAGACAAACAAACACCAGAATACCCTCACGAGCATTCCGCACCACACGCACCCAACAACACAACCTCCCAATAGTCCACACAGGACAGTGACCGAAACCGCTCGGATATCCGGCCCAACGGATCCATCTGCAAAGAAGGGTTACACCTTAACGTCATCTATAGATCCTTAGCAACAATATCCTCTTTACATTGGTATCGAACCTTAGTTATTTGACTTAATTTCTTGGCTATACAATATACAATATTTTACAACTTTAGCATGTCGTTAGCTAAAATGCAAAAAGGCGTAACTAACAAAAAATTGAAAATTGACTTCTTGAATGAATATTGTGAATGTCAATAAACTACATGTGTTGACAAAGTTTTACACGTCTGCGGTCAAAAAGTAGCTTCTATTAACAAAAAAACAAAAAGACGTAACTACAAGTGGGTTTATTTGATAAATGCAAAAAGGCGTAACTAACAAAAAATTCACGTTTTTACTTAATTGCCATTAAACTAAATAACTAAATTTGTTAAAATAATTATAGTCTATTATTTGTCATATGCAATATCACCCTGCCGGGCATACTATTTCATTTCACATGACATGTTTATAGTTTTCATTCAAAACAGTTTTTTGCTTCTCCTACACAATTATGCTTTTGTTAGTTACCGCCTTTTTGCATTTTAGCTGACGATGTGCAGATTTAAAGTAAAAAAAGTACTAAACGACGTTTTTACCTCTTACTTTTAGAAGCTACTTGCTATAGACATGCCTGCACACCATATAATTACGCTGACTGTATATTGTCATACAAACATTAACTTTTGACCCATTTAAATAAAAATATTGACATCCATTATATTTGACAATCATACAAAAAAATGCATGCCATCGTTGGGAGAATGGAAATGATGAATTTTCATAAATGAGATATTCTTCGTTGGTTTCCTTAGCCCCCTCGTTCGATTCATGTGTGAAACAAGTGTTTGTGCTCGATTGTACAGATGAATCTACTTTTCACACGCATTAACATCAAACACTGAAACTTCGGACGCGAAAACATGACATTTGAAATGCATTGTTGTTGTAATTGCCAACGAGAGTATTCTCTGATACTTGAATGGTTCGTTGCAGTTGCAGCATGTGGTTTGTTGTCGTAGTCGTTGATCTCAGCGCCACTATGTCCATCGGAATTGATTTCAATTGGTTGGGGGGTTTCTTAGTTGTATTTGTGTCCCCCTTTGTGTCATATGTAATCGCATGGTACTCTGTTATTCATCATCGTCGTGGTGTCATTTAGTGGTGTCAGTGTCCATGTGTTCATTTCCATATTCCATTTTCAGTTTTTTTTTTTTTGTTTTAGTGATCGATTTAGTTATCATTTTTTGTTATGACTTGTTTCATTTGTTTTGTCTTTTTTAATTTATTGTTGTTGTTAATGTTAATAATTCTCTCTGTCATCGCTAGCAGTCAAAACATGTCGACTTAATTTGTCTGTTCTCCACGCACAATTATCTAAAAATAAATTGCTCCTCGTTTGTCAGAACAATAAATAAGCAGGTCTTTAGTATGGGAATGTAATAAAGCTGAGTGAAATGTAAGTCACCGATTAGTAAAGAACTTGCAGAGGAGGATATAAAAATAAATATGAGCTTAAATTGGAGAAGTGAAAACCATTGATAATTTCAGCCGGCACGAACTTTTTACACCTTCCAGTATGTGATGTATATTCAAAATTTGTAAAAATGGTCAGCATTTGTATATGGAGACTATGCCAGTAGGTTGTTTATACTTTGGAAAATGAAATACCAAATAACAGAGACTGGAGTAGGAACTTCGACGTATCGACATTTAACCGGGACCTTATTTTTATATGAACTACACACAGAAAAATATCATTGTAAAATCAATTAAAATCACTTCCTAACGATTTTGCTTCATTATCGTTTCATGTTGATTCAACATGATTTTACAGTAAAATTAAAATAACATTTTTTCGCTTACAAACAAGACGGAAACATGTTAATTTTAACTGTGTTGTTCTAGTTGAATCAATTTGATTGTGAAACTCTTATTAAATTAACATTTTTAAAAGTTAAAATAACACGAACTCATTTTGAATCAATACGAATTTAATGTTGAATTAACAATGAAATCATATTAAAAT